CACAAACACACACACACACACACACACACACACACACACACACACACACACACACACACATTTACACGAAGAGAACTTAGCCAAACAAAAATCTCCAGCAGCTCTCTAATTTATTACTAAAGGGATTTTCAGCGTCACTACAAACGAATGCAAAGAAGAAAAAAAAATGAGAAGTTACAATAATGGCAAAAACAATGCAGATAAATTGTCTAGTATTAATTTACGTACAACACATCTCTGGATAGTTTTTTTCGGTTTTTTTTCGTTTTTTTTTCGGTTTTTTTTCGGTTTTTTTTTCGTTTTTTTTCGTTTTTTTCCCTTGCCCATTTCTATGAGATTGACGCCATCTGATTAGTAGAAAAAAGTGCATATTATGATTGTGTCCAATAGTGTATGACATGCATACTTAGTATATCAATTAACTGTGATAGCGGATAGAGATTCCAGGATTATAGATTTAAGTCATTGATCTGAGAGAGGTGATGATTTTAGAATTAATAGTGGTGATGAGTGATGATGAGGGATTGTGTTTAAGTAATGTTAGCGTTAGTCCTATCTTCCTCTGCTCCAATGGGTCACGAGGGACGTATCTCTGGACACTATAGTGTACCTTCATCCTGACACAGAATATGACATGTCTCTCCGCGTGGTGGAATCAGGCTCTCGTCAATTTTGGGGCATATAGAGTAATTGGTATCATCTTAAGCCTTGTTCATTTGTCTTGCTTAGGATGAAAAAATATAGATTTATCTTGAATACAAAGAAGTCGAGATATTTGCTAATGAAGGAGGTGGGAGGTCACCTGGTTTCAGAGATAAAATTAGTGAGAAAATGGCCGCCAAAGATGAGTTGTTTCCTTAGCTTGAGAGTCCGTAGAAACTGAAAGTGTACATTTTTTGTGTGCCTTTAATTAAAGTTTATCAGTAAAATCCACACAGAAATGTGTCTTTTTTTATGGGCATGAAAGGTGTTGAGCTAAAAAACGAAAACTTGAAAAAGAATTCACAAACCTGTGAAATAAATGCCAGTTTGTTCACTTTGATTATTTTATTGAGGAGCGCCTGATTTCACCATGCTGTCTCACAATTATGTGCATGAACATGTATACATAATATTATTTAGTATAACAATATAGTTTTTTCATTTCAAATATACACATAAAAAATTCAAAGACCGCATAGAAAGACCAAATTAAACCAAGCAAATCCAAATATACAAATGACGTCATAAAAAGTCCTAATACAGCAATAGCAAGCTCAAATGTAGACATAGAAATCTCAAATGTAACACATAGCAAACTCAAATGCCACACAGCAAGTTCAAATGTAATTATGCTTAAACTAAAGTAAAAGGAGGTTAAGTGGGTGGTTGGCCGGTGCTCTGGTGTGCTTTGCTCCTTCTTTCCTATCTAACATCTATCATATTGATCTCTCCTCCTTTTTTGTGTCTGTTACTTTCTTGTAACACCTCTAATCTTCGGCACTTATATGACTTTATTGTGTTGCAAGAGCCGTAAAACTCTCACTAAAACTAAATAGGAGGCTAAAAGTATAAGAAGTATATCAAGGTAAGAAGCTAAAGGGTTTAGGTATTTTTAACCACGAAAAGGTTAGACGTAAGCCGTGTGGTGCCACAAGGAAGAAATCATTTGAAACGAAAGTAATAGTTAAATTATGTTAAAAACCGAAAATAAACTCACATGTTTAAACAAAAATGAATGATTTTGATACAAAATCAACACACTGCTAGCATGCTATATTATAGAACTAATTGAGTGAAATCTAAAGCCAAGTTCACTTTTAGTTACTTACTGTTGCACTACAAAACGTTATGGCTTATAGGCTTGCATTGATCTAAAGGCTGCTGCCATTTTCACTATAGTCACAGCTTGCATTTTTTTGTTCCATCATCTGGGCAAGTGTGACCATCCTTCGTAGAGGAGTCAGCTGAGTGAGCATTTGGTCTTTTGCTTCACCGAGCCACGGTTTCAAATCGTATTTCCAAATTCACAAGCGTTCTTGTGGATGTTAAGAAAAGGTGTGGAGGGGGTGGGGGTTGGGGTAGATATTTCTTCCCCAATCTATTGACGAGTTGACATTTAAAGCCTGCCTTTGTGCACGAGCGTTGTTACATACACAGCATACTACATTGTGGGGATTGTTGGACCAGTTTCTTAGAGGGATGGGTTGAAACGAAAGCTGCCATTCCTTCTACTTGAAAGTCGTGAAAGACCAGGCCACCCTCGTCACTGACAGTAAAATAGGCCCCTATGGCATCGTGCGGTTCGGTCCCCTTCGACCCTGCATTACTCGAACAAAGCATTGAACACTCCGTGCTCTTCATCGGTTTCTATTCGTCAATGGCTTGCTACCAGCTTCCCCTATTAAGACAAATTCATACCGCTAAATGTTCTGCATCAGCCATGCTGCATATTGATGTCTAGTTTCTTTAATTTAATCCTACCTGAATTTCTTTCCGCGGGAGCATCCTCGTGATTTTTTTAAAAGGTGGTCAATTCACCTTAAAATTAAACTGCTTATGGTTGTCGTCAACTCAGTTTGAGCACATTAAAATGCTTTTCACGCTGAATAATCTTTGTGGAGGGTATTTGCTTTTGCTATGTGGCATTTGAACTTGCTATTGTGTTACATTTGAACTTGCTATTGTGTTACATTTGGACTTGCTATTGTGTTACATTTGAACTTGCTATTGTGTTACATTTGGACTTGCTATTTGCACATTTGAATTTGTTACGCACAATTGTGCACTGAAATTTCCTGTTGTACATTTGAACTTTCTATGTGGCGTGAAACTTTCTATGCGGCATTTGAACTTGCTATGTGGCATTTGTATTTCTTAGGTGTACATTTGATCAGAAAAAAACTATAGCATTCAATATCTTGCAATACTTCTCTAGGTGCTTTATAGTGTACCCTTTGTCCTCAGACAAAATATATGTGTGTACCTGAACATGACGTATACACAGCTCCAGTCAATTGGAACAAATTGTGGCTTTTGCTTTTGTTTTGTTGGGGTTCTTTTTTGTTTTGGTTCTTTCATTTTAGTGTTCGATTTTCAGTTTTTTGACGAGCGCCTAATTTCACCTCGAGCGCCACACGTTTGTTCTCAATTGTGATATCCTAGACTGATTCCCCAATTTATGTAAATTATTGAAGTGCTGCACCATCATCTATTATGTATTTGCCGAGTCATATTATATATCTTATAATGTCCGGATGTATGGGCTAAAGGCCTTTCAGATCAATCTTTTTCAAATCTTGAAATCTGAAATTGATTCCCTGCCATCAACTACAGGTTTATTGAGGATAGTATAGACGGCGTATTTGAAACTTGTGTAGTTGTTGTTGGTTTGTTTTTTGAATTCATAACAAAGGGAAACATAATTAATTATTATTGCATCTTTCTTTAGATCTCTTTCCAATTGGCATTGTGTCTTGTCTGAACACATGTAATAATAATGTAATACGTAAGCACCCCATGCCAACACTGAAAGGGTTAAAGAGTGTAAACCCTCTCATGATTGGCAACTGGTTGTGCCTGCCATTTAAAAGACCCAAAATTCGAAACGAAGACGGAGTGTTTCGTTCTCGAAAAAACCATTCTCCTCCATTTCTGAGAGTGAGAGATAGCCTGTTACCCACATCAAATGAGAAAAATACCCGAGCTTCGGCACATCCTTCTTCCATTCCACGTTCCACTCTCTTCCTCTGCTCGACACCGCTGTGACCTTCACCTTGACTAAAACCTCCGTTCCAGAGATGCCTTTGTTTCTGGAGCACTTGAGACACACAGCCATTTTTCGCCAAAATGTGCTGTTGTAGAACCGCACCCCAGCCTCAAACTGAGGACGGCCTTGACCTACTTTCCAGACCTCGCTCCAAGTAGTTGCATGATGCTTTGAAACGTAGCTTTGGATGACTAGGAAATCGTGCTCGAACTTGACAGGGGGAATATTAATGACAGATTCCGAGGTCTTCTCGGATAGTACTGTCTCCATTTGCTCCAGTCTCTTTTCTTGTTGATCCATCTTTGAATGTAAACTTTGAAGAGATGCCATCATAATATCCTCTTTGCGTCTGAGCACCTCTGCTTCTGAAAGTTCATGTTTTCGTTCATTAAATTTACTCATTTTTAAGGGGAAAGGGGGGGGGGGAAGAGGGGCTACACCCTGAAAGTCATAATTCGGGTCAAAATTATGGATTTTGAGATGTAGGCATTTTTGGTTTCTTCAAACTCTCTTATACACATACTTACACAAGACAGACAGACACACACACA